CCCAAACGGTAATCCCAACTATCGTTACAACTTAAATTCCACATCTCTTAATTAAAACAATAATTTCTTTACATTTTCGTCGTCTGACCAAAAAAGTTATTGTTCTCTCTCTCTTTCTTTGACCTTTCATTCTTTTTTGTTTTTTTGGTTGTAGAGCTGGGCTGCTCTTGGCTTACAGCTTGTGCGTTGCGGAAAAGCCAGAACAATAGTGAAATTTGGAGAAACACCAGAGTCAAGAAAATTCTGGGGAGCTCTTGGATTTGCTAAACTGCTAGACTGAGAAACTCAAGAGGGTTTTAGTAATGGCAACGGTGAATGGAAGAGTTTGTGTAACAGGTGCTGGAGGGTTCCTTGCTTCTTGGGTCGTTAAGCTTCTCCTCTCCAAGGACTACGCCGTCCGTGGCACCGTCCGACAACTAGGTAACCTTCCCTAGCGCATCATTAAGGCACAAAAGCAACAGAGTTTCTGCTAATTGGAGCAGTGTCTGCTAAAGTCTATGACTTTTGAGGGAAAATGATCTCTTTTATTTAGAATTATGCTTCATGATTTCTACAGGAGATGAAAAATATGCCCATCTCAATAAACTTGAGAAAGCATCTCAGAACCTCAAACTTTTGAAGGCAGACTTATTGGATTATGACTCTCTTTGTTCCGCAATTGAAGGCTGCGAGGGTGTCTTCCATGTTGCCTCTCCTGTGCCCTCCACCACTGTTCCAAATCCTGAGGCAAGTATATGCCCTTACTGTGAAATCAAGTTTAGTAATCTCACTGTCTTGATTAAAGAAATAGTAGAAAGTAGGTGAAAAACTGAAATCATTTTGATTCAAGTATGTCATTGAGTAGCATCAAGTCATCAAAGTTTTGACTTCTACCTAACATTTTGGATAGGATTAGTGATCTGTACCCTTTAATATGCTTGTGTAACTCTTATTAGGTGGAAGTGATAGAACCAGCTGTAAAGGGCACTCTCAATGTGCTTAAAGCATGTCTTGATGCAAAAGTCAAGCGAGTTGTAGTTGTGTCCTCGGAAGCTGCTGTTGCATTTAACCCTAGATGGCCAAAGGGTCAAATCAAGGATGAGGCTTGTTGGTCTGATAAGGAATACTGCAGAACTACGAAGGTTAGTAACTGGAAAAGGAAAGGTTGATTATGTTACACCTGTAAAGCTACTTCGAAAATAGATGTCTTTACTCTTTACTTGGAATATGTTTGTCCCAGAACTGGTATTACCTCGCAAAGACAGAAGCAGAGAGTGAGGCTTTGGAGTTTGCTAAAAGAACTGGTCTTGATGTTGTAACTGTTTGTCCTACCCTTATTTGGGGGCCACTGCTACAGCCCACCATCAATACAAGTAGCAAAATTCTCATTAAGCTTTTAACAGGTGCTTGCTTCTATCATCTTCTACGACATTTAGTTATGACAGGTTCATTGTTAATGCGTAAACCTATTCTGAGACAATATCTTTCTTTCTTTTTTTGGATTTCCTTTGTGGGGCCTTGTTGGGGAGAAGGGGAGGCAGTAAAGGGATACACATAAGAGAAGTGCTAGTTTATGATAAAATTTTAAACTTGAAATCTTTTAACTTTGAGGATGGTATTTGACTTATGGCCAAATCTTCAGTGTACTGTGTCAATGTAGTTGTGGCTTACCTTTAGCGCTGATTAGTAGGTTTGCAGAATTTAAATGGAATGTAGTTTTGTTCTTTCTGACCCTAATTGATTGTAGCTTTTTAGGCCACTTTAGTTACGTCTAAACATATGGTACTGGTTTTTCCTTTCAAGCTTGAGCATGTACTTTCAGGAGCATTCAAGGCTATAGTATTCTCACTTTTGTCTGGTATCTTCTTATTTGCATTCAGAGGGTTATGAAACCTTAGAAAACAAACTCCGGAATACAGTAGATGTTCGTGATGTAGCTGAGGCATTGCTTCTCGCATATGAGAAGCCTGAGGCTGAAGGCAGATACATTTGCACAGCTCACACTATCAAAACACATGATCTGGTTGATAAATTGAGGACTCTGTATCCTACCTACAATTACCCTAAAAGGTAAGCCCCATTTTGCATGATTTGACTCTGAAATTGAGGAATTATATATTGTCTATATATCTCTAACGACATGATTCTCTTTCCACTCATTTTAACACTTTAAATTCTGGTCTCTATAATGGCAGCTTTACTGAAAGTGAAGACGGTGCAATTCTGAGTTCAGAGAAGTTGCAGAGGCTTGGTTGGCGATATCATCCCCTGGAAGAAACACTAGTTGATTCTATTGAGAGTTATAAGAATGCTGGAATCCTGTGTTAGAGGAATTATCAGCACTCGAATGAATAAGGAGGGTGGTGACCAGAAACTCAATTACTGCTTGTAATTGTATCTTGAACGTCATCTGTGATTTGAATAATTCTAGCCTAGCCTAGTGTACTAAATCATGGCATTCATACAATTAAATCCAAGACATATATCAACAAAAACCCTTTATTTTTCTTAATTACAAATTTCACAACTTGATGAATTTCTCGCTTAAAATTCAGAGTATGTCATTCTGCTATAGTTTATTCTGTCCCTCATATTACAGAGTATGTTCAAAATAGGTTTATTTAAAGTCCGTGAGAAATTGCTCCTCAATGCCAAAAATAGAATTTCAAGA